AAAAAAAAGCCTATCTTCATTCATTTTTCTCTGGGCCCAATTACAAAATTCCAAGCGACTTTCATAGTCGTGGTTATTCAATTCTTGGTGAAACTGGATATGATATGGATGCATCCTGTGCTTCTTTAAAATCCGCCTTACCGATGTCCTGCTTATATCTGTTTGCCTTGAAATTGCTCTAGCGCCTATATGCGGATCTTCAGTAACACTTAACACACTTAACAGAACATTTAGTTCATCATCATGTTTTTCATAAGAAACATTGCCACTAGTATCAAAACGTACCATTAATTTTTCAAAGGTATTTGCACGTGGTTGTCTTCTATCTGGATATCTCTGATTATAAATTCTTGTTGCGAGTAAACAATTTCTATCAGCAGCTCCCAATACATAAATCATATCCACCATTTCTTCTTTAGAAAAATTCATTGTAATATAAAATTATTTTATGAATACCAACTAATAAATAACTAATAGACACTAATAAACTAATAAAATGGACGCAAAATGGAATGGTAAATTATGAACTGACAAGTTGACACAATGTGACAGTTTTTTCCAAAGCCATCTCATGCGACCGAAAATAATAAAAATTAAGTAGGTATTTTCAGAAATGTTGCCATATCTAAAAAACTAACAATTTTAGGTATAGAACATGCTTAATAAAAGTTGAAGTGGAGTGATATGCAAATAAAATAAAACAATAAAATATAGGGTGTTCCATTTGAAAAATTTTAGAAAATCAAGTTTAAACTTTTTAAAAATTATCGTTTTATAAAAAAATGACCTGTATAAAATATCGATATTAGCTAATATAGGAGTCTTTGTATAACATTTGACTATAACTCTGTCAAATATTTTTGCTCCAAGTTTTAGTAGTTGAAAGTTAATACAACTTCTTCGAGGTCATGTTTTTTCCAAAATTCTAAGAATTTTCTACATAACTTGNGAGACATCATTCCGATGGAAATCGATGTAATATTACATTGGGAAATTTTGCTTTAAATTTCCCACATTTATAATATTGACATATATTTCCTGCCATTATTAATTTATTTTAAATACCTATGTATACAGTAAACAGAACACCGATTCAACACCAGTTTTTTATGCATTGTGTAGTGGCGATTTTTTTTATTCCAGTCTTACCTAGAGCCATCTACAAACGAATTACTATACCCCTTGTATAATAACAGTATAGTAGAGACCGCCTAGACCTACAGTTAGTTCTTTAGCATAAATTTCAGAAATATTAATAAGGAGACAGCCGATAGATGTCCACACTATCTTTCGTATCATTCTACTGATTAACAAAATTTGCATGGGGATTATATTACTATATTTACTTATACAATGATAATACTTACTTCCTTTATGGTGTAAATAACTATTACTTTATAGTGCCAAGAATACTGCGTCCACTTGCAAGTTGCGCAAACCGCTGGTTGCACCTTACCCTGGCTGATACTGCCGGAAAATGTGACCTTTCCCCAATGCTCGGATTTCGAAAGTGTACGGAATTTAATAGCCGACTTAAGAAAGTAAGTGTGCAACCAAACGGAACGATCTTTGAAAAGTTTTACGTATAATTCTTTCTCCAGTTCCAGAGCAGCCTACGTGAGAAACTGCGACTGTCTCATGAACTGCAACATAACCATCTTCAGCACGAAAATAGTCAACAGAAGGGAAATGGACGAACTGAACGCTCCCAACAGCATGATCGCGCTGTATTACAGCTCCAACCTGGTGACCAAACTGAGCGAGGTTGTCGGATATGACTGGAACCAGTTCCTGTCCGATATTGGAGGATCTCTAGGCTTCTTGTTAGGTAATTATATTGTATTCCAAGCCAAAATAGTAGGCAGTGACACAGGCTCGACATCTAGACACTTGCGATGATAATACAAGTGCGCGCACAAGCTGAACATCGGAACACTATGCGAAATGAACGGCACATTACAGTATTGCAATATTATTTTATGAGATTAATAAATAGTTAACAAATTTTGGTTTAAATTCACTTATGCATAATCTTTTGGAACCATATTATAATATTGAATAGGCGGTATCTGTTTTGGTTTGGGTGAATCGCATATCCACGGAGATTTTTGGTTTTTTGGCTTTCAAATATCATTAGAAATGAAAATTTTTCTATGCGCATAGAAAAAAACGTGGGCTTAACTTTTGGCGGCACAATATATTAAAAAAATCCGAAAAATGTCATATTTTTCTTTCTATTTAATTAGGTATCTTTTCAAGAGTTGATTTTAGGCGAAAATGGAAGAGGAAAAAATGTTTGTAATTACATTTTACAAAATATGACTAGTTACAAATCGGATGAATCATAATTATTATTGTAAAAATCGAAAAAATCGCCAAAAATGGGGTTAAAGAACAATTTCTTTTAGGGAATTTTTTTTGGGGTATTTAAATTGGGTATAGGACCTTCATACTTGGCTTAAGAAAAGTTCATGTTATGTAGAATCATCACACCAAATTTCATCAAAATCGGTTCTTTGCATAATAATTTTGCAATCCAGATTTTGAAAAAAAATTGCAAATATTCAAAATTTTGCACAGCAAAAACCAAGGCCCTTAGATACTTGAAAATTTAATCACATATAGAAGGGCTCTAAAGCTTTCAAACGTTTTTTGAAAAATTCGATTCCGTCAATTAGGAGAGCTCTGGCGCTTGTTTAAACATTGGTAGAACTTTTGTACTTATAAACAATTAAAATAACTTTGTGAATATTCAATCATATCAAATTTTTTAAAGGCAGGTTTTAAAAGTTATTGTAAAGACGCTTCTTTAAAAAAAAAACAGATCGATTGGTCAATTAGTTACGTAGTTATAACCGATCAAAGTTAATCGTCATTTACACTAAATGTAGTGGGACATCCGGGCTAATTTTTCGAAAAATACCTTTGGTATTCCGAGTACTTACCAGGTCTAAGTTTGCAATACTTTTCTTCATTGGCAACCTACTTTAAAACGGTTTTAAAGTTATTTATGCAAGCGACGCGCTTAAAAATTTTTAATATCTCAGCTTCTAGAGGTCCGATTTCGATGTTTTTTTTTTAAATCGATATCTCGCGATTTAAAAAAAAACAGTTAGCTTATTTTCAAATGCCTATCGTTAATAATTATTGGTCTTTCAACAGTCCGTTAATTATTTATCTTTAAACTTCCTTTAATTATCAACTTTATTTTTTTATTGTGTCAAAAGTAAGTGCGTAAACTTATATACTGTTTATCAAGGATCAAAAACAAATTTATTTAAATATTCTAAAATTGTTTAAACAACAATTATTTTCAAAATATGTCGAAAATTAGTAATTAATTAATTAATTGATTAATTATTAATTTAATCATCATTTCTTTTGTGATTAAAGTGTTTCAAATATTATTTACTGCTTAAAATATAAGCAAATGAGAAATTAACTCATTATATTACAAAAATACAAAATTATAGTACAAAAATTCGACCAACGTTTTAACAAGCACCAGAGCTCTCCTAATTGACGGAATCGAATTTTTCAAAAAGCGTTTGAAAGCTTCAGAGATAAATTTTCAAGTATCTAAGGGCCTTGGTTTTCGCTGTGCAAAATTTTTAAAATTTGCAAATTTTTTTACAAAATTTGGATTGCAAAATTATTATGCAAAATCTATCGAACCGATTTTGATGAAATTTGGTGTGGTGGTTCTACATAACATGAACTTTTCTTGAGCCAAGAATGAAGATCCTATACCCAACTTAAAGACCCCAAAAAAAATCCCTAAAATGTAATGTTTTTTAAATCCCTTTTTGAAGATTTTTTCGATTTTTACAATAAAAATCATTCGATTAGTAAAAAATTTAATTACAAAAATTTTTTTCCTCTTCCATTTTCGCCTAAAATCAACTCTTGAAAAGATACATAATTAAATAGGAACAAAAATATGACATTTTTCGAGTTTTTTTTTTAACATATTGTGTCGCCAAAAGTTAAGCAAATGTTTTTTTATGTACAGAAAAATTTTCATTTCTAGTGATATTTTAAACCCAAAAAGCCAAAAATCTCCGTGGATATACGATTCACCCAAATATGGACTCTTTGAAACAGATACCGTCTGGACTAATAGTGTTTTTAACTGATACAGGTCTTTCCGTGATTGGGCTGATATCAATGGCCGAGGAGATTTGTCAGATACTGTTCAGGTGGATGTTCGCAAAGAAGAATAAACAGTTGGAAGAGGACAAGCAGAACGAGGAGCTCAGTAAGGACAACAAGGAAAAGGAGAGTAACAGGGACGAAGTGGAATGTACTGAAAATAAAGATGTAGTCAATGAGAAAAACTGTACAAAGGACGACCACAACTATAAGAATTTGATGGATTATTTCGCCGATTATAGCTACTACGAAAAGGCATTGGTTGACAAAGATCATGACAAGAAGAATAAGTTTTAGAGTAGTATTTTATGTGGCTTATTTTTATTGTATTCTTCAATATTAGATATAGTACAGGGTAGGCTAAATTCAATGGGATTTGGCCTGCTTTGTACATTAGTTAATGTCTTTGTGAAATACATACGTACCTGTTTGTATTAAAATAAATATTATATTACCACTACTGGAACATATATGGCCGATGTACTAATTTTGTAAAAGATTTTTTTAATTCTAATAAGCGTGTTTTGTAATTTCGTGTAATAAAATAAGGTGGCGCTATTGATTATTTCCTTGCTATTGTGCATCGAACTTCCACACGCATGCGTTGTTTTTATTGCCTTTATTTTTTAAATGCAACGTTATGGAGGCACTGAATTCGGCCAAATTGACGAAGAAATTAAAAATGCGGTCTCTAAAAATATAAAGAAGACTCACAAGTCAATTTCGAAGCAATTCCTTGCATTTCGCGATGAAAAAAGTATGCCTCAAGTGAAACAAAATCCTTGGAATATCTTGCAAACATTATGAAATCGAAAGAATTATTGCAATTTATGCGAAACACATATCAAGACCAATAAGTATTTTCCTATCGAACGCGGATTTATTATTTTTTCGAGGCACGCGCTGGAAAAAGATTCACCGAATTTATAGAAGTAACGTAACAATTCTATCACAAAACGTTGCTATTGAACTTCACCACGTCACATTCTCTAAATATAAGCTTATAAAAAATGTATTTTTAAACAAGGCGCTGGCAAGAAAAACAAGTGTCGGTTGGGGAATGAAAAATGGGGACATCGCCGCGGTGTTGCCAAGAACCGAACCAAATCCAGGATCTAGGGATATTCCTCACGACGCTTCTTCCTCAGACGAAATTTTGACGTATAGAACGGAAGATGAAGGTTGAAAAATTACGCGAGAAACAGTAAAACAGATGCGGTCCTCGGCAGAACGTCGTTATTTTGAATTGCAGTGGCGAGTTGGGAGAATAGATTTCTAGACATGGCAACAGTTTTTCTAAATCGGAGCTGGCGTTATCAGTTCCCACAGGAGGAAAGGAGATGGAGAACGCATTGTGCCACCACCTTATTAAGCTCGGTATGCCTGCGCATCCGTTTGAGAGGCTCCAGTCCAGTTTTAAGGAACCCTGCTCGGCGGAAGGTGGTCTTAACATCGATTTCTGTACACAGGAGTAATCAGTAACATAAGTAACACGAATATGAAGAGGAAATTCATTTTTTCGAAATTAAGAGCATACTATCAAAATCTTTTTTTACAGCTTTTAGAAATTAGAAATACATGTATTAATTTAAAAAGAGATTTAAAATAATTAACAACTACTTTAAAAGGAACTTTCTAAGTTTGTATATAGGATGTTTCATAATATGTAGTATATCTTTAATTGGGGGGTGAATGTGCGCATGATTTTAAGTAAAAAAAGTTCATTTAAACATATGTCTGTAAATGCTTCGTTACCAAGATACAGGGCGTTAAAGTTTCAATGATTTGTCTGTATCTTTCTTTGCAACTCTCACAGTTTTTGAGATATGTAGCTCAAATTTAAAGCATAGGCTAACTTAAATTACCTGCATCATTAATCCTTTCTAATAGTTGTCACGATCTACAGGGTGATACGTTTTTTGGAGTCGGACCTCCTTTCAGCTCCTCAAACTTTCTTCCGGTACGCCACTGGTGTTTTCTAGAACATGGGTTTCATTCCCTGTTCAATTTAGAAACTTTTTTGCCTCTTACAATTTTTTCGTATCTGTGGTCATTTTTTCGAGCAAAAAAATAAAAAATGAGTAGGATATATCGATGTAGTCGTGGATACTTGGTCAAACATTAGTCGCTATTGAACTCATTTGTGATTGTTTGTGGTTCAATTTGCTGAAAACTATGTAAAAATGGAATCTCATGAAGATTTAGGTGTACCTGAAGATATACTGGAGTGTGCAAAGAGGTTTCTTTGAATCTTCTCTCAAAGAAATCTCGAGAAATGTATGAATGTATCTACCAACGTTTTATGGATTAGTGCAAAGAAAACAACATTAAGTTGTATTAAGAAGATGATTGATGGAGTATTTATCAAAATTAGCAAAAATGAAACCGTCAATGCTTTGGTCACAATATTCAATGTTGCGATCAAGGTTGCATATAAAGAAAGGGATTGATATAAACAAATATTCAAAGTTACGTGCTTTTCTCAAGAAATGAGGGATATGTACCGAAAAAATCGTGAGAATTTATAAAGGAGCATCTGATAATTTATATGTGATGATGAAGGTAGACGTTTCAAAAATAAAAGAATAACATTTTTAAATAGTTTCTTTATATGTTGTCCTAATATTAGGAGTTACAGGCGCATGCCCTTCTGATGAATTAGTCAATTTAACAATTAATATTGAAGATGTAAAATCCGCCTTAATTATAAAAATTCCCAATACCAAAACCAAGAGACCACGTTCTTTTACTGTGCTGGAAGACCAAGTGGTCGGTATTCATAAAATCAGTGCAGTCTCGCATGATGTGACAAAATTTTGGAAGCTGAACAACTGGATAGAATTCAGTGGACACGCATTATGACACGGAGGATGGAGATCGAGCAACGTTGTCATTTCTGATTTCACAACATCTGAAAATAATATAACTATTCATGAAAACGTGTTGGACTGCTTTGAGAATTGCTCCAAGAATGAGGGTAGTGGTAGTTTTAGTGGTTTATTTAATTTTAATACTTGTCCAAACTGTGTATTTAATATAAGTGTGGATAAACGAAAATTATTGTAAATATTGTTGAATCAATTAAAACTTCATTAACAGTTTTAATCTAAGGATTAAATAAAAGTGATACTTTTGTTGCTGAGATAGGTATCATTTTTTTTCTGAGTAAGGAAAAAGTTAACCTTAGACTTAGAGACTTCTGAGAGTCAAAAAATGTCATACTTTTGCGAGGGTTACATAAAAACTTAGATTTTACGCTGGGAAAACGAAACACAATTGTTTACGTAACGGTTTTTGGGTGACAAAGGTGGACCAAAACCATAAACAAACAGAAACCCTGTAAACATATTGCTATTATAAGGAAGAGACGTTGGTTTTTTGCCAAATATAAATTTTGGCAAAATCCTGAAAACCAGTAACGACTAGGAATGTTATGACTTGTACTTAACTGATTCATTGATTACTCAATGTTGTCGGGTGTAATTTTAACACTTAAAACATTCGTGCTAAAATGTTGTACACAATTTTATATACACGATGTTACATTATGTACAATTTCTGACAAATAAAATAACTATGATCCTTTATAATACTTTACTGATTAAAAGTTTGTTTTACAAGCAGCTGAATAGAGATTTAGTATTAATTTTGTAGATACTATAAAATAAATCTGGCATCCAAGCTGACGAAATTTAAAATCAGTATTGCATCTTCAAATTTAACAAACTGTATTCTTTATTTAATCTCGATTTCTCAATGCCTGTGCATGAAATTTTTGCTTATAGTTTAAAAAACGCGTTATAGTCCAATTAACTAAGCCTTTAAATCCAAATTTTGTCAACTTGGCTGAATTTTTGATATGAGTTAGTTTAAGGTATATTATAACAATAAGTGAGAGTAATTTTTTGTTCAACCCCCGGCCAAGGGTGGAAAAAGATAAAACAAAGGGCTTTTTCAAGATAACTCAAAAAGGGTAAGAGCTAGAAAATTCATTTCATGAAAGTTGTAAAGCAGACAATTCTACATAAAAATGGTCTCTTAGCTTTTTCTTGTACTATTAAAATTAACAGAGTTAGGGAGGCTAGAAGTTAAGGGAAGATTTCAGAAATTTAATTTTGTTAAATCATTAAAATTAACGATTAAAAATTTGATTTTTTGTTATAACTTTCTTATTAAAAATTAAAAAATATATCTATTTCTCTGAAAAGAAAAGTTACATATTTTAGAGCAGATTGAAAAAAAAAATTACAAAATTCAATCATTTTTCTGTTTGTTATGATTTTTTTTAAATTTCTGAAATCTTCCCTTAACTTCTAGCCTCCCTAACTCTGTTAATTGTAATAGTACAAGAAAAAGTTAAGGGGCCATTTTTATGTAGAATTGTCTGCTTTACAACTTTCATGAAGAACTTTTTTTTCTAGCTCTTACCCTTTTTGAGTTATCTTGAAAAAGCCCTTTGTTTTATCTTTTTCCACCCTTGGCCGGGGGTTGAACAAAAAATTACTCTCACTTATTGTTATAATATACCTTAAACTAACTCATATCAAAAATTCAGCCAAGTTGGCAAAATTTCGATTTAAAGGCTTAGTTAATTGGACTATTAATTTCTTTGCTAGTTTTACTTCTCCGACAGATGCTACGAATTTACCTCGACTGAAGACGTCGAAAAATGAGCAAGGATACACTTAGGCGATCCAAATAAATATCGATCGGATTTAATCTAAGCCAGCGAAACTTGTATTAACATTGAATAGTAGAGATCTGGCACATGAAATTTTCAAATATCAATGTCAAGTGAACCGGCTACAAGCCGCAAGGCGGTTTTTATTAGAAATTTATTTTCGTACATTTTTACTTTCCCAATTAATCCAAAAATAACCCGGTGTACGTTGTACATTGTCGATAATCTAGTTGGGACAGCAACCGGTGGCAACGGAGTGGCTTTCAAAAAATTTTAAAGTGTAATTTCTGATCAACACGCCGCTAAAGATTTTTCGACATTATTTACACTTAAAATCAAAATGCAAAAGTGCAAAAAGTGCAAGTACAACAAGATTTTTTAGAAACCAGTCTGTTCTTAATGATTCCAGTTAAATTTTTTGTTGAGTTGACCAAACTTTTATCGTTCTTTTTATAAATAATATAGACTATTACAAATTCGTTTCTCACTACAGGGATCTCGGAAACGGTAAGAGATACGAAGTCAAGACTAACATGATTAGTTTTCGAAATATTTGAAAAAAACCGAAATTTTGGAAATCCGTTTTTGTTTAATTTCAGTCTTGTTCCAGGAGATATTGAAACACTTGCTCATGGCCACTTTTTGCCCTCTATCGAATGGCATAATCAATTTTTATATGTAACGTTTCGCCTCTCCAGGACCATCATCAACTTTTTTTTAAATACGACCCTGGAAAGGACCCCGCACAAACCTTATGGAAAATGGTTCCCGCTCAAATTCGTTCAAACTTTGGGATATTGTTGTTCTTGATGTGCTGATCAAAAGTTCCAATGGGCACAAGGTCCAAAAACTCATAGTTTTCGAGATAGAGAGCGTCAAAGTTACGGTAATTA